CATGACTGTCATCTCACTCAGTGTGGACAAAAGCTCAAAGAGTCACAAGCATGCAAAAACTATTTTTCTCACAGATGTATTTCTGAGAATTCATTCTATACATATATTTCCAAAAAATTACACAGAAATTCATTACCCCACAGAAAAGTTAAAATGATGAAAACTATGCCTCTTACAGTAAAATCCTGATTCAATATAATAAAATCATACAGAATATTAAACAGTTGTAACAAACAGTATTAAACAATTTATTATCATGAAAATGTTCCCAATATTCACTGCTAAAATAAAAAAAAATCGGAGTTGGGGGAAGTATGTAAAGTTATGCCTCAGAGAAACACACATATATAAATATATGCTTTTTACAGAAAGAACCAGAAGACTATAAATCAGTATGGAAGTGGTTGGTTGAGGTCAGAATGAAGAGAGCAGACAGAAAGAAGATGAGTGTGAGAAGAATTTTCTCTAAATATCTCCTGGGATGTGCAATCATCACACCAAGTCACCTAAATGTTTCCATGCAAAGAAAAATATCTGTTCAAGTACAGCCTGGGCAAGAATGTTGGGTGCTTGGGCAAGAAAGTAAGTGCCTTGTCACCGAGTTCTGTCTGTCTGTAAAATTCCAAGGAGTACAGCACTCAACAGTGAGGAAAACTGAAGAAGTCGACTAACGCTCACACAGCAAAACCCATATGCCTCTGTGGAGTCTCAGGAATGGACAACGCCACTCACAGCTGCTGCCTTCAGCCTCTGGGTCTCTGAGGTGCTTTCTGCTAAGCAGGTGCGTACCCTGACGACCCTACCACCCTTCTGGCCTCACCTCACATTCTCTAACTTTTCTTCAGACAGGGACGCTTCATTCCCGCGTTGAGATTCTCTGCTCTGGCCCACGTTTTCCTACTTTCTTATATCCATGTCCTGCTCTTTGGAATAAATTTGTTTCTGAACCCCATCATAAGCCCTCCTCCCAATTTTCCTGGATTATCTGACAGGACAGATCAGATGTTGTACTATTGACAAAGTTCCTATAGTCTGTGGCCTGGCAAACAGAAACAGCAAGATTTTGAATGGGTTTCTGAACTTATAGAGAACATTCTTTGCAAGTTTTGTGGTAATTAATAAACTTTTTTTTTTTTTTAGCACCAGCTGCTCTTTCAGAGGAGCTGGGTTCTATCCCCAGGATCTACACAGAAGACACAACTGTCTGTAACTCCAATACCTGGGGATCTTGCTGACACCCTCTTTTGGTCTCTGTGACACTGCCTTCGCTTGACGTGAGGCAGGTCCACAGGCTGTATACTGTATACAGATAAAATAGAGGTACACAAATCTTTCAAAATAAAGTAACTTCGGCCCTAGATTGAACACTGAGAATGTTCAAAGGACATTTGCATAAATAGCGGTTGAAATATTTTCACCTCAGTTTCGTGGAAACTCTGACTCTACTCAGCCCTGCCTTGCTTGAACGTGTGTCTGTGTAATTACACGTTTGGAGAAGGTGGGAGCAACATTTTCAAACGCAACAACCATCTGTGGCTCTGGAGAGGAATCTGGTGGTTTTAACTGCAGAAGCCCAATGACCCTTCTGAGAAAGTGCCTGCCTTCCTTATTCAGCAGACTCCCACGGTCAGAGAAAGCGCATGCGTGACAGCTGTGGAGTCATTGGATGAGCCTGGACCTGGGTCTACATTCCAGGCCTCTTGTGCCTGACCCTAGTGAAAGCAGTTAGACCTTAGGTCTAACTTCCTGTGGTGATGGGAAAAGCCTCTTTTGCCACCGAGTTTGCAGAAAGGATGAGATACAGCCTGAAGCTCTGCTGTTAACTCAGTGGAACTTCTGCGTAGCATTTACAGAAGGCACCCAATCCTGATAGTCTCAAAGGAGATCCTGAAAACAGCTCTTCCTGACCTTGTTGTGTTCTGTGGAGTTGTCACAAATCAAGCCCTATCATTGCTACCACTGCTAGTTTTCTATCCTTAGCAGCAAAAACATTTTGTTTGCTATAAGTCAAGGTTCATGGAAATTATAAATTCATTTCTAACTTTTGCTGCTGTGTAACTCATGCTTCACATTATAAAAATATCATAACAAGTTTAATACAAAACATTAAAAACTTTTGAAAACTGTGTCTCTGGTAAGGGGAGAGAGTTAAGAGGGTAAAGTGTCTACTGCTCAAGCATCCCCAGCTCCCACAGAGAGAGACAGTGAGAGAGAGAGAGAGAGAGAGAGAGAGAGAGAGAGAGAGAGAGAGAGAGAGAGAGAGAG